TGTGTGGTGGAGAAACAATCCTTCCTCTAACCTCAACAATTTTGGGGCTGATCTGATAATCCAACAGGTATGACACAGATTACCAAATGAAAACAACTAAATTAGAGAAGTGCATAGGCATGTGAACCTCACTCACATGAAAGAGTCAGGAACCCCACATGCAGAAGAGCATCAAACATAGAATGGAAATGTGGACACACAAAATGTACTGAGGCCGTGATGGTGGGAGGTGGCATGGGGCTTCAAAATGACCTTGCAAAAGGTTAGGAGCAGATGCTATGAAAAGGGTGCTATTCTCAAGATGTCCACAAGGTGGCGACAGAAAGAGCATCTCCTGCTGGCCTCAACTCAGATGCTATTCCAAAGATGGACACTGGATGACGGTGTGCAGCAGAGTGTGGAAAAGGGCCCCACCCCCAGAGACCAGAGGTCCTGCCAAGTCAGCCCTGGATCTTCTAACTGCTGGGAGAAGTACTATTACCTAAGATAGGATGGAGCCTCGTGGGATGAGCTCTGGGTCCTCACCAGAGACCATAAGAGGTCATGTCAGGTCACCTCTAGGTCTTATAAGCAAGGGGCCCCACATGAGACCTGGGGGTCCAAGAGTCCTGTGATCTCAGGCCTGGACCACTTGAGCCTGGAGAGGACCACATGAAAGACAGGAGTGTCCTGACACTGCACACCTGTGTCCTGTGAGAGTTGAAAAAGGTCCCTCCCTGTGAAATGTAAGTGTCCTGACCCTTCACCTTTGAGCCTGGTGACTGTGGGGAGGGGTCTGACTTGAGAGAGCAGGGGGTCCTGTCACTTCAGCTCTGGGTCCTGGAAGCCTGAACACAGCCCCCCTCCTACACTACAGGGCTCTGCCACACCAGCCCTGTGATGGCGAGATGCGCAGAGGCTGTGTGTCCACGACTTTGGGGAACATCCCTGCCTGTGAGTGTGACAGGTCGGGTCCCGCTGCCTGTGCACTGCGGGTGCAGCAACAGGGGCTTCGCAGAGAAAGCAGTGAGTCCAGTCACTTCAACCCTAAGTACAGGAATTGCATGAAGAAGCCCCGCCAGGGGGAGGAAGCTGTGGTTTTGCGTCAACACTGGGTGTTGAGCAGGAGAAGAGGTTCCACCTGAGAGAACACCTGATCTTCTGACATCAGCCAGGGTCCCGGAGAGTGTAGGGGGTCCAACGTGAGACAGTCTGAGGTGCCGTCTCATCATCTCGGGGGTCTTGTGAATGTGGGGTGGGCCCCCTCACTGAGAGATTAGGGGGCCCTGTCACCTGAACTCTAGGTCCTAGGAGTGTGGGAAGGGACCTCTCCCTGCAAGGAGTGGGGTCCTGTCACATGGAAGAGGGACCCGACCTGGGAAAGACAGGCATCCTGCCTGACAGCCGAGTCCTGTGGAGGCGAGAAGGGCTCCCACCTGACACAGTGGGGAGCCCATCTCACTGGCTCTGTGGCCTGTGCATCTGGAAAACGGTCTTACCAGGGAGAAGAGCAGTTTCCTCCCCTCAGCTCTGGGGCTCCTGATTGTGGGCAAAGGTCCTTCCTGGAGAGCGCAGGGGGTCCTGTCACATCAGCTCTGGGTGCTGTGACGCTGGGGTCGGGTCACACTGGCGACAGGAGAGGGCAGAGGAAGGCAGCCAACGCTGTGGTCCCAATTATTCAGCAATACAAGTCACAGGCCAACGCCAACCCTGAGGACTCCCGGACGCGGCAACTCCTGGCAAGAAAGGTCCCAACTTCAGCAACCGGGTTGGGGGGAGCTACTATCCTCTGACACCTTCTGCCCGATTCCTCCAGTCCATATGCGACCCGCCTAGTTTTGTTGCAATAGCAAAGTTCACTCTCATCTTTAGGGAGAACTGGTCACGGTGGCTACAGCAAAGAAGACCCTCTCTATCAGCCACTTCACTTATGGGACCAGAACTGTCCCCAAACTCTATCTGGGCTCTCCCCCCGGCCGAGCACACAGTGAGAACCAGACCCCCACTGGGGCGGCGTCCTCTCGGACAGGGACGTTTGTCTCACCAGGGACATTTCTGACATATAAAGGCCGACTCTCCCTACTGGCTCCTAAACAAGCCGAATGTCTGGGGAGAAAAGAGCGCGTGTAACGACCCTGCGCCCGGAGGCCGCCCGTGTGCGCAGCTCCCTGGCTCAAGCCTCCCGAGCCTCCGCGTCCTCACGTGGGGTCCAGCGACCCTGTCCCTGTTCTCGCACCGCAGAAAACGGGAGAAGACCTTCACCCCTTTACCACGCTCCCCGGACGCCGATTTTCCCGGGTTTTCTTCTTTCACAACCGGGAAAGAGAGGGGTGAGTTAGGCGAGCACTCAATCCACTGAGCCACACCAGCCAGGGCTCATCACCATCTTAATAGTTAACAACTACAGCAACAATAGTAACTACCATTTGTTTCATTCTCACAGCGTTTCAGACTTTAAGAATTCTATGTGAATCAATTCATTTACACATTTCAACTACCTGATGAGGAAAGTACTGTAACTGTCACCATTTACAATGAGGAAAGTGACCTTTCAGAGATATAGAAATGTTTGACTATATGTCTGGGATCACAGTATGAGTGATAGTGCAATCTAACCCATATTTGCTTCTCTAAAACACTTACAAACTCATTAAAACTTTCAGAGTTTTGCCCTCACCACCGTGACCAGTTGGTTGTCATGCTGCAAAGAGAGAGATCTCCAGTCTGATTCCTGGTCAGTTTCCAGGTTGGGGTGTGTGTGAAAGACGAGTGATCACTGTTTCTCTCTCTCTTTCTCCCTTCCTTCCCATCTCTCAAGAAAATGAACAAAATCTTTTTTAAAAATTAAATAAAATAGCCCTGGCTGGTGTAGCTCAGTGGATTGAGCACGGGCCTGCAAACCAGACAATCGTGGTTCGATTCCCAGTCAGGGCACATACCGGGGTTGCAGGCCGGTTCCCTGCAGGCCAGTTCCCAGCAGGGGACGCACAAGGGGCAACCATACATTGATGTTTCTCTCCCTCTCTCCTTCCCTTCCCCTCTAAAGATAAATAAATAAAATCTTTAAAAAAAAAAAAGAAAAGATTTTTTTAAAAATTTTAAAAAAACTTTCATAGTTTCTAAATTTTACATTGTCTTATGCACATGTCATTACATCATTCATCTGACTGACGATTTCAACCAAAGTTCTTCTCTGCTATACTGAAGTGAGAGATGCACTAAGACCCTATGAATAAAGAAAGTGTACGATGTGAAGGCAACTTGTACAGTGGATGGCCCCAGATGAAGAATGTAAAATGTGCAAGATCACAGCCTCCCACTCTAATAAAAAAAAGCATCTCCCAACCCTGAGGAGCTTCAGGTTTGATGATTCAGAAACAACAAATAATAAAATGACTTAGGACTTCATATAGGTTACACACTCTTCTATAGAAACTCATCCATCTGGAACGGATTTCAAATGCCCTTTCTTATACAGGGAAATAACAGCTTCTTTCTGAGTTCCAGTGAGGCCACTCTCATCCTAGTTAAAATCATTTGTTCAACCTGCCTCCCTCCGTGTTGTGAGTTCTTTGAGAGGCTGGGCCATACCTGAGACTTCTCAGAAGTCTCAGGGCTCCTGAGGGCCCCTAAACGTTTGCTGAATGATTTCACAATTACAAATTAAATTAGAAGATGATCAATGAATGCTGAAGGCAATTTCTGTGAGATGTGAAATATGGAGAGAGCTGCGGGGTAAATTGATAGCAGGACTGTAATCTCACATTCATACTGTATTACACGATTCACAGAACACTTTGGTGAGCATCATTTAATTGCATGTTCACTATAACATGAGAAATTGGCATGTTATATATCAGGACACTGAAGACGACTAGCTACTGGTACAGCCTTATTCAAACAGTTGGAGGGAACCAGCTAATCTAAGTACAAATCTTCTTTCTAAGGTATTACAAATTGTATCACCATTTAATTGTCTAGATATGTTTCTGCCAACTACTTCTTTATTCTCTTCCCAGTTTCCTTCACTCTCAATATTATACAGACAGTTGAAAGAAAAGAGCCATAAGGCATGGCTTCTAATCTTGGATTCATTACCCACATTGGCCCTATCCCCTCTAATATTCATACTTTCTAGATATTTTGAAGAGTTGAAGTATTAAAGACATGCATGTAAAATATATGATAAGCCTTAAAAAACTAAAAACGTATTATCTTTTAATATATGACTCTTATATTGAAGGCAACATCCAGCGTGCCATTAAGCAATGAAGACAGTTTGAAGGAATTGTCAGGAACAGCAAATTCAATGACTGCAAGTGACTCAGAGCATGGCCAGAAACCAGTGTCCCCTCCTGCAGAAGCATGTGCCTTTGGAAAACATATTAGATGAAAATCAGGTAAGAAAAATTAATTTGGAAACTTAAGTTCTTCTAAGTCCTATAGAATGGCTGATAAGTATGACCTAGTTCTGTGGGGTGGACTATGGATGGGCCTGGATTTAAGCTGGGCTAAGCTGAGACTTAAGGTAGCACTGGAGCTTTGGGCAAATCCTATAAATTCTCTGAGCTCCTGAATACTAATGTGTAAAGTAAAGATAAGGAAACATCACTGATTTATTGTTTGAAAACATTAAATTAAATTTAAAACAGGTGACACATGCAACTTGTCCAATTAATCCATCTGTGATAATAGCGACCATATTTTATTGGTACTGTGTGCCCAGGCCTTTACTCAATGCCTAACACATAATGTACACTCCATAAATATCTTATAAATGATTAAAGGTTGGCAAATTAAACTTGGTAATGGGAAAATATGGAAACTAATATTGAATCAGTTGTCTGTAGTTAATGTGGAGTCTTCATCTTCTGAACCAATAGTTAACAGTAAAATACCAGAGTATGCAAAAGGACAGGTGATCATTTGATGAGAGCACACAGCTCTCTGGGCTGGAACCTCGAAAGCCTGGAGCCCTCACACCTCCCCAGGGCCGGAAGCCCTGGAGCTCGGAGAGGACACACCTCTGAAGTGGGCACCACTGAGACTCAGTCAGGGGCCCCCGGAGACTGAGCGGTAAGCGGGGAGCCTTGCCATGTGGAACCCTTAGCCCGAGTCCTTCCAAGTCCAGCCTAAGAGACCATAGGTGCCCTCATCCTGAGGGGCCCCAAATCCCTTCAGCATCGAGGGGCCCACGTGCGCTAACCCGGAGTACCCCACATCTCCTAACCCCCAACACTTAGACCCCCATACAGCTTGAAAAACCCCAGTTCCCCTCAGCTCGGGGCACCCTACCTGCAAGTCGCCCAGAAAGACCAAATCTCCCCAAACTCAGAGACGCTAAATGCCGTCGTCCTGGAAACTAACTGAGTGGTGGGGACCCTGAAGCCCCTCGAGGAGACGCCCCAAATCTCCTCAGCCGCAGGGGTCTGACCCTCTCTGCCAGGCATTCTGAGTGTTCTCAGCCTGGAAGACGCAGGCCGGTGTCCCGGGGGACCCCAAGCCTCTCAGCCTGAGAGAGGGCAGTCTGCTGGAGACTGCGCCTGAGTCTCGTGTAGGCTTCTCCAGAAGCCCGGGTGCACCTCCGAGGTTTTCCCCGGGAAAAGCGCGTTTCCTGTGCCACCACAGGCCCTCCCGGAGGATGGGCGCCTTCAGACTCCTGGGTGGCGAGCAGAGGGAAGGGCGGGAACCAGGGCGCCCTGAGCGGGTGGGTAGGTCTGCTGGTATCTGGGCCTGCTGCATCCAGCCCCTCTTCCTGCAGGGCCCCTGCGTCCCCCTCTCCCAGCGCCCCGCCAGCCTGGAGAAAGGCATTCGGCCCTCTCATCTTCTTCTTCTTCCTCAGGCACCTCAGACTTGAGGTTGGGACACCATGAACCCCGACAGGGACCTGCAGGACAGCCCTGAGGGAGAAGCGAGACAAACAGGGTGGGCACCTCAGGTGAGCTGAGGTGCCGGAGGGGAACCTGGGGACAGGTCCTCAGATACCCGGCCCTGGATGTGGGGTGTGCAGAGCAGTGGTGGGAGAAACTGGACTACCTGGGGCAGGGCCAGGGCAGGGAAGTGGGAGAAGGGCCAGAGTGTGAGCAGGCCCCCAATGCACAGGAGGAATAGCCGCTTGGGGACCCGAGACTAGGCCAAGGCACAGGCTCAGTGCTTGCAGCACAAGGACCACCGAGGCCCCAGCCTGCTCCCTGCACCCAGGGGCAGTGGAAGCCCTCTGTGCGTGTTCTCACTGGCATCACTGAGTTACTGATGTTTCCACTCTCCTTTCCAGGCTGAAGAAGCTTTGAAAGACACTTCCCTCTACTTCTCCAGGGAGGAGTGGGCAAAGGTGGGAGACTGGGAGAAAGGCAGGTACTGGAATGTGAAGAGGAACTCTGAGGCGCTCACCAGCCTAGGTATGAAGGGTGCAGGCACTGGGCAGAAGGAACCTGGTGGTGACCTGGCAGGCTGCCAGGCTGCCTCGGTGTCAGGGGGCTCCATCTGCCTACACCTCCCTCCTGCATGGACAGGGATGGGGGAGTTGGCTCCTTCACATCAGTGCATCAGAGCAGGACTGGCACTGATGATGCAGTGCTCACAGCAACTCCTTGTAGACTCTCCCGTCCCATCAGAGCCCGTCACACAGGCTTCCTGGAGCTTGTACCTCCTCCAAACTCTTTGCTTTCAGGACAAAGGTTTTGTCTCTTTCCAGGTCTCAGGGGCCCCCAAGCAGCTTTCCTGTGTCACCACAGCAGGCAGGCCACTGAGCTCCAGGAGGAGGACCCTGAGAACTCGGATGAAGAATGGGCTCCAAGGCAGCCAGGTGAGGAGCAGGAGGAACCAGAGCTGCCCTCCTATCTCGGACCTGGTTTAGGTCAGGCTGCATGCATCTCAGGAGTTAACCAGGGAACAGGGTTTGCTTGTCCAGTGAACATGCAGAATGCAGAACAGTGTGTGGTACAGTGAGGGGCTATTCCTGTAAACTTTCAAGCATGCAACATAATCATATATATTTATAGATACGTTAATAAACAGTAAATGTATAAGAACATACAGGTGAATAAGAAATAACTAATTCAGAAGAGTTGTCATCACAGGAGAGGGAGGCAGGTCTGGCTGGTGAGGAGTGTCCCCACACCTGGCTGCCCAATGGCCTGCACAGAGATAGACGGGAACAGTATTTTCTATGATGACTACAGGAGCTGCAGGGAGGGCCAGGGCCAGGAGTGGTTGATCACTGTATCATTTCCTGATGTTGGCCACAATGTCATCCTGTGTAGTATTGTGAGTGTTTGGTTGGAAGGGTCAGTCCACTTTCTTGAGTATGGGGTTGAAACACAGCTGAAGTCAAGATGTGAACTTGACTGGAATTCTGTTTGTGTGGTCAACAGACTGTGGATGCTGCCCAGAGTCTAATGATTAAGGAAGGGTGTGGATGGCTAGTTTGTGCACAGTGGGGAGTATACCAGAGAAAGGAGGCGAGGTGGTCATGGTGCCCTTAACCAGACAAAGCCAGTTAGAATGAAGAAAACAGAATGTTGAAGACATGGAGTTTCTGTGCAGTTACTTTTATTACATTTTTGTCAAGAGAGGCCAATTGTTTTTTTCATAATTGTAATAGATGCTTTATGAACATAGGATGAACCGTAGATGACACGTTTTTTTTTAATCATTCTAATGAAATAAATTAGTTGATGGCCCCAATGAAAGCCTAGGCCTTAATGATACCTCAGAAAACATTTTCCAATCATCCTGGGATTGTTCTTGGACTACTCTCATTCACAATTCTGTGTACTTAATAAGAATCTCCAGATTTTGGAAACATTTACCAGTGAAAACACTGATTTCTCATCATCTTTCAGTGAAACCTTCCTGGGTGGCCTTCAGAAGGGCACAGAGTAAACAGCAGAAGGTGACTATTTCCCGAATCCTGTTGACAAGAAAATTTTCCTCATGGATAGAAATGCAGGTAACAGTTGGAAAATGCAGAAAGTATCCTAGGAACTGCCACCTTCCTTTCCTGATCTCTTCAACACATTGTTCGACATGATCATCCTTTTTTAAAGATTTAACTTACTGATATTCTTAGAGAGTGGGAATGGAGGGAGAAAGAAAGGAAGAGAAACATGAATAGGTTACCTCTCACACAATCCAGGCTTGTGCCCTGACCAGGAACTGGTGACCTTTCAGTCTGCAGGCCAGCACTCAATCCACTGAGCCACACCAGCCAGGGCTCATCACCATGTTAATAGTTAACAACTACAGCAACAATAGTAACTACCATTTGTTTCATTCTCACAGCATTTCAGACTTTAAGAATTCTATGCGAATCAATTCACTTATACATTCCAACTACCTGATGAGGAAAGTACTGTAACTGTCTCCATTTACAATGAGGAAAGTGACCTTTCAGAGATATAGAAATGTTTGACTATATGTCTAAGATCACAGTATCAGTGGTTGTGCAATCTAATCCATAGTTTCTTCTCTAAACCACTTACCAACTCATTAAAACATGCATAGTTTTTCCCTGGCCAGCGTAACTCAATTGGGTGTCATCCTGCAAAGCAAAAGATGGCCCATTTGATTCCTGGTCGGGGCACATGCCTGGGTTGTGGGCCAGGTCCCTGATTGGGGTATTTGTGAAAAGTGACTGATCAATGTTTCTCTCCCTCTCTTTTTCCCTCCCTTGCCCTCTCTCAAAAAAATAACCAAAATCTTTTTTTTTTCAATTAAAAAAGAAAACCTTCATAGTTTTCTAAACTTTATATTGTCTTGTACATGTCATTACACTCATCTGACTGACATTTTCAACCAAAGTTCTCTGCTGTGTGAAATGAGAGATGCACTAAGACCTTCTGAATAAGGAAAGCTTACAATGTGTAGGCAGTTGGTACAGTGGATGACCACTTTTGTAGAAGAATGTAAAATGGCCAGGATCAGAGCCACCCACTGTAATCAAAGAAAGCGTCTCCCACTCCTGAGGAGCTCCAGGTTTCATGATTGAGGAACAATAAATGATAAAATGACTTAAGGCCTTCACATAGGTTACACACTATTCAACAGAAACTCATCTGTCTGAAACTGATTTCAAGTGCCCTTTCTTATAGGGTCAAGTAACAGCTTTGAACTCTAATGAGGCCACTGTCATCTTGTTTAGAATCATTTGTTCAGCTTGCCTACCTCTGTGTTGTGAACTCTTTGAGAGCCTGGTGCATACCTGAAACTTCTCAGAGGTCACAGGCCCAGATCAGGGCTCCTAAGGGCCCCTGAATGTTTGCTGAATGAATGATTTCACAATTGCAGTTACAAATTAAACTAGATGCTAATCAGTGAATGCTGAGGGTAATCTTTCTGGGATCGAAATGTGGACATAGCTGAGGGGTAAATTGATAGCAGCATATTCATGCTGTATTATGTAATTCAGAGTACTTTGTTGAACATCATTTAATTGCATGTTCACTATAACATGAGAAATTGGCATATTATATATCAGGACACTGAAGATGACTAGCTACTGGTACAGCCTTATTCAAACAGTTGGAGGGAACCAGCTAATCTAAGTACAAATCTTTCTAAGGCATTACAAATTTTATCACCATTTAATTGCCTAGATATGTTTCTGCCAACTACTTCTTTATTCTCTTCCCAGTTTCCTTCACTCTCAATATTATACAGACAGTTGAAAGAAAAGAGCCATAAGGCATGGCTTCTAATCTTGGATTCATTACCCACATTGGCCCTATCCCCTCTAATATTCATTCTGTCTAGATATTTTGAAGGGTTGAAGTATTAAAGACATTCATGCAAAATATATGATAAGCCTTAAAAAACTAAATACGTGTTATCTTTTTTTTAAAATTTTTTTATTGATTATGCTGTTACAGTTGTTCTATTCCCCCCTTCATTCCCCTCCACCCTAACCCCCCATCCCCACCATTACCCCCCCTTTAGTTTATTACCATGTGTCTCAATTCCTTTAGATTCTATATTTCCCATGCTATTCTTGCCCCCCCATCTATTTTCTATCTACTGTCTATGCTACTTATTTTCTGTACCTTCTCCCCCCATCTCCTCCTCCCACTCCCCTGTTG